TTTATAATTTATATTATATTTTTTTTATCATATAATTTATATTATATTTATTTAATATAAGGCCTATTTTACGCGATTTGCACCGGCTCTCCTGATCTATTGAGCCGGCCCTGATTAGAGGACATGTTTACTAATTATATGCCCAATAAAATACAGTAATTATGCATTGTTCTTTTACAATTTTAAAATAATTTAAACTCGACAAATCTTAATTAAAGCACTAATAATAATAAAAAACACTCTTACCCATTGGTAATTTCTCAACATTAACTAGTGGTGCTCAATCATGGCATGGAGTACCTAAATGTTTGGGTATAGCTGCAGCACTAGCATGATCTAATGTTACTCCTAGCAAGATTTTGTCATAATGAACGTGTTTTAATTCTCATCTTAAAATTTATAAACTTTATGTCAATATTATAATGGCTTTAATTTATCTATTGTTTAATTTATCCGCTGTTTTCCCGCAAACCGGAGGTTCAAAAACCAGGTTTTGACTCTCAAATATTCTGCAATCCTCCCTTTCAAAAAAAAATATTCTGCAATCCATGTGATGGACAGTGTACCCGGGGTAGCTTATCCGGGGGTTATTGCGGGAATAACCTAGAGAGAAGTCAGAGCAAACAAGTAGGAGAGAGAGGCGATTATATTAATGAATTCGAGATGTTCTGGTCCTTTACAATTGGAAAAGGGAGTGTTATTTATAGCAGCAATAAATGCGATGAGAGTACACGTGGCGATAATCTAACGGCTGAGGGGTCACCTAAATCGGGTGGCACTGACATTCGCATGTGCACCGCATTGAATGCGGTGGGTGGATGTGACGCCGCATTAAATGCGGTGGGTGGATGTGACGCCGCATTAAATGCGGTGGTTGCGGGTCTCCAAAGGGAATCTTTGATGATTGAGTATGTTATCTGAGGGCTCTTCATGCAGCCGAGGGCCCTGTGCGGCCCGAAGGCTTGGTTCAGCCGAAGGCTTTTCTAATGCCGAGGGCTCAACAATGCCGAAGGCTCCTGTTTTCTGTCATTTTCTCCCAGTAGCTTCGTATGCTCAAATATGGCTGTTCTGTGAGTTTTGGAGCCTTCGGCCATACTGCCGAAGGCTACCCCAGGCGCTTCGTGGACCACTTTTGAGCTTGGGCCGCTGTGTCTTGGACCTCCTTCGCTTCTTGGGCTTGTTGGGTCTGTGATAGAGTAGTAGGAGTTTGTGGACCGGGGATTCCTGGGCCATATACTTCATCACCATGTATTTGTGGGTTGGAAAGTGGGTAACTGGCACCGTGGGAATTTGGAGGCTTATTGATGGGGAGAAAGTAGGGCCCTTATGCGTACGTACATGTCAATTTAAAAGTGTGGGGCATGGAATATTAAAAATCCCAATTTTTTTAAATTTGTTTTAACTATTGTATTCAAACTCAAATTTTTATTAAAAAAAATATACCATTTTTTTTAGTGTTTTATGATCTTTCATATGACACCAATATCATATATATTAAAGAAATTAAAAAATATTGAACTTTCATCTGCTTGAGATTCTTATGTTCAAAATTGTTGTTAAATAAGTTTAGGTGCTGAAATTAAGACCTTATGATTAAAATACTTTTTTACATCTTTCCATTATTTCTTTCAAAATTAGTTCTAAATTAAAATCAACAAAATTAGACTCCCAATTTATTTATTTTTACATCGGAATGTTTGACTTTTAAATTTATAATTATTCAAAAAAAAAATATTTGGCAAAAAAATGATGTATAATAATAAAAAGAAGGCTTTAACTAATTTAAGAACAATGTTGCTCGGTGAATATATTGACGGTGCTGGATTATGGTGAAAACTGAATTGACTGAGTGAATACGTAGAAATTGGTGAGAAATTTGATCTATTGACGGAGTTGGATTGCGGATCCTTAGAATGACTTTATATTGTCGATCTTTAAATGCCTAGTTAACATGTACATAGTACGGAGTATTATAAAGTGTTCAAGTTTTGCTTTATACTCCCTCCATATCAAATTAATTGACCCACTTTCCTTTTTTGGCGTATCAATTTAATTGACCCATTTCCCTTTTTGGAAAGAATCCCACTCAAAAAGCAGCTACAGTACTGCTACAGTACCGCTACAGTGTCGCTACAGTACCAAAAACCTCTTACTTTTAATAAAGTCTACAGTAATTGTCTTAAACTGCGTGAAAAAGAAACGGGTCAATTAATTTGATACGTAGGGAGTATTTTTTTAAGTTATTTGAGGATTGTTTCAAAAGTTCGACTCAACGTCTCAAAGCATTAAGCACAAAAATGTTAGGGCGTTAAATATTAATTAGGAAAAATTGAAAATAATAATCTCAGTTATTATCCGTCGGATATTAATAATCCAAACTATCGATCATTAATGAGTGGTCTCAATTATAGAAACCATTTTTCAAAAATAGTGTCTAACCGACTACACCTTGGTATAGCAAGTCAATTAAATGCGAAATATGCGTAAGTTATAAATAATTCCAACTATAGTTTTACTAATGGCAATTATCAACTATTACTATTCGGAACACTACGATTTACACTACAAAAAATCGGCGTTTTTGTCACGAATGGTACCACAACAATCCACGACAAAAACATTTGTCACAGATTTTTCCGTGACGCCACAGGTGTGACAAACATTTGTCACCGCCAAAAATTCGTGACAAAACATTGTCACGGACCAACCTGAGACAAAAAGATCATTGGTGGCACCTTCCGGTTTGACATTTGTCACAGAATCTCGTCCGTGACAACGTACAATCCGTGACAAAATATTCAAATTTTTCAAATTTAATTTTGTCACGGACGAGATCCATGACAACAGGACAGAAATAAAAAAAATCAAAATTTGTCACGACTCACGAACGGGATCCGTGACAAACATTTTTGCATTAAAAGAAATTAAATTTTCTTTTATAGCATGACAAATAAAATGGCGGATACATAATTCAAATTTGTCACGGGTTAAATTCGTGACAAGCAAAGTATTACATTTAAAAATCCTAAACATCAAAATAAATAATAGAAATTGAAATTTAATCTACTAGAACTATTATCCTCCGTCTCTTTTGATTGCAAATGTTGACTTTTTGCACTGTTCACATGATCTACTTTGACTACATTTTACATTATTATTTTATGGAAATTATTTTTTAAAAAAATATTTTTCAATTCATCTCATTACAAATTTTCAAAATCTGATTTTTAGTATTTTTTTATTAATAAAGATTAAGACATACTTACACTCAAATGTGTGTGTTGGCAAATGTGTGCGTTGGCAAATGTGTAAATGTGCAAATGTTGACGGTTGCAACTAAAAAAGAACGGAGGAAGTATTAAAGATTCGGGAGGCCGTCTTGATCGTTGGAATTCAAAAATGAGATGATATCCTAGGTTGAGAATTTGATTCGGGTTGACCAGTTTGACTTTCACCTTGTCAGCCGCCTCGACTGTATTGACCACCGGGTGTAAAAATGATTGATACCCATACGGAAAAGGCGGGGTCATTCCAGGCATGTTTGTCGGCATTTGAAACCATGTGCTAGAATTGAAACCCATGCTCATGAATGATATTTGAGGCGGCATCTGAGGCTGCATTTGGGATTGCTGCATGGGAGCCCGCCAGTTCACAAAGAATTCATTCAATTGACTTTTCATATGCTCCATCTTTTCCCTTTCTTTCCTAGTCTCTTCATCTCGGAGTTCTCTGAGTTCTCTTCATCTCGGAGTTCTCTGAGTTCTCACTCTCTTTGCAATTCTCTCTCAAGACGGGCCACCGCTCTTCACTAGCCATCGATTGAGAAGATGAACTAGCACCTTGAGAATTTTTCAAAATTCGTACAACTTGAGAACCCATGCACGAAACCCAATCTTTCATAACATCAGCAGCCGCCATATAGGCCTCAACATCTGCTTCACATGTGATGGCAGATTTCTAAATATTTCGTCAACATGAAAATGTGCAACATATACATGATATATGTATAGGCATCACATCTGCTTAAAAGTGGAGTTCTCATGTTAAGCATGATTCTCATTTGAATATATATATATATATATATATATATATAATGGAGGCACACACTTACAATTTAAATAACTCACAATTTCAAAGGGCAGAAAAAGTTGAATTTATTTACAAAAATGTAATTTTATTTTGTGGTTTATGTAGTGCACTCTTCAATTTCACATAATACATAATTCTCAATTCTAACGCTATATGTTCATTCTCAATATACTAAGTACATAATACTTGATAAGTTTAAAAATGTTGTTAAATCATTCTTATACTAAATTTTAATAACTATTAAATGGTATATAGAAAAGCACTCATCATACAAAAATAAATATACAATTAGATATTTTGAGTAAATATTTGTAAAAAATGACTACTACTGGTTTAAAAAAAAATTCAACTAAAACGTAAATATATGTTGGAGTAATTTACTTGAATGATTATTAGACATAATAGTTCAACAAATTGATTGTAAAATAATAACTATATAATTGAAAATGATTTTGGTTGTAGACGATCAACACTGAAAATAATGAAAGTGAAAATCAAATGTTTGTATATTGACCAACTCGCAACTTGGTGGGCCAACCCACTTCACTTATAACCCTTGCAGATTGACACACAAAATCGGCCATTTCATCGAGTTAAAAAACAACAACTCATTGCCCTCTAGACTTCGACTCATTTTGACAGCTCTATTCATATCCAATTGAATTCTATTTTAAATTCTAATTGACAAATCCCAGCCTCTATAATTTAAAGAAATGTTTAACACGTATTTTACTGTGCAATGCACGGGTACACATACTAGTACAAAGCATAATTAAATTTGTGGACTAACTTAGTTGGGCTTTCACCCAAAAAAAACTTAGTAGGGCTGAATAGGTTAGATTCTAAATACTCTACTCCATGTTATACTTCAAATAATGGGCTGGGCTGACAGTGACCCGTATGAACCAAGTCGGGCCTTTATAAAATGGAATGATGAATTAGACCGTATGGATGATTGGCGGCATCCATATATAAAACGGTGGTTGTTATCCATTTCTTGCTTGCGTAATGAATTATGATGATAAGTTGGCAGTATCTGACTAAAACTCCAATCCCTGAATTGCGGTTACTTGATCCCGAAGACTCGATTATTAGATAGAAAGAAGGCAAACGCTGTACACTTGGTAGCCACGAAAACTTGGTAATTAAACAAACACTTCTTCCCTGCGCTGGCCACAGAGTATCACTTCCATTCAAATTCAACATTCTTCCAAGTTTAGCATATATACTCCCCCCATTCACAACTATTCCCACAAGAAAAGTTATCTCTCATTTTAGAATATAATCCTGGCTACCCTTTTAGCTACCCTTTAGTTCAAGTAAAATGTAAGATGTGTCAAATTGTACCAGTATCAATATTAACTAACACTAAATTCTTACAATAGGATGAAACCCTACCAAGAAAGGCCTTCAGCTTCCGTTGGACAATTAACTCAGAAAATGTAAATTGTTAACCGATGTATTGTGGTTCCAAGTACTTGCATTTTTAAAATCATACAATTAACTCAGTAACGGATGTATTGTGGTTCTAAGTACTTACATTTTTAATATCATAACTTTTCATCCGTGTACCACACTCTCTATCTATCAGTTCTATCAGTTGAGAAAATTTGAACCAAAGACTTGCTCTTTCTACAACTCTTTATCGGTTGACAGGAATCTATCTATCGATTAACAAGATTCGAATTCGAGACTTACCCTTTATACATGATTTCCCCTTCTACCACTCTCGATCTACTAGTTGTACGGTAGACTAAAAACTCAACTTTATTAGGAGCTTAACAAAAGTCTTCTATATTAATGAGTGATGAAGTTCAGTTTTATTAGTTGCCTAAAGTGAAATAAAAATTTAAGAAACAGTAGGTAATGGGACTAGAAAGGGAAGTTCCAACTAATTATTATTGTGCTAACAATAATAAGATAAGAATAGATAATAATAAATACAACAAGGATCAGGCACAAACCACATGGACAACCCAACCAGAGAGGGGCACTAGGTCGTGCAATTTCATGCACCACCGTTTCTTCAGTTTCCACCACACATACAATTCATATTTTAATTACAAATTTAATATTAATAAATTTCATGAAAGAGAGATATCAGACAGAGAGATATAGTACTAATTTTCAATCCCTATAGAATTAATGAATGTTTACCAGTATATGGGCTAATTAATAATGAACAAAGAGAGTTAAATCAACCAAATCAAAGACCAATTCACTCTCAGTACATCAAGCTAATAAGGGCTTCTAATTAATATGGAAAGTAGTATATGCGATCACCAATTGGGAAACTAAAATTGAGTTTTATTTAGCATCAGATTCCCTGAGATCCCAGTCGATCGGAAAGGACGACAAACACGGCTTCTTCCACGGCATGGGACTTTCTACTTCCTGTTCGCCGGAAAGTTGAATATTCATCCCGCAGTCAACGCTGAGGCCCAGTTGCAACTCGGTCGGGGGGAGCTGGTTCAGGTCAAAGTCCAGAGGCGCGTGGCTCGACACACCGCCTTCCGACGAGGTCAACGCGCTTCCGCTCGGACCGCCTCCGCCGTCACGGTTCCCTCCTCCCAGATTCCCCTCGTAGTGGCGGCGCTTGTGCCCTCCCAAGGCCTGGCCGGTGGGGAACGACTTGTGGCAGATGTTGCACTCGTGCGCCTTACCAGTCGGGTTCAGAACAGAAGAGTGAGAGGCGGCGGCCGTTGAAGTTGACGTCGACGGATTGTTCTCGTCCGAGGCGGCGCCGGCAATATGCTTTCGGTGGCTCGCTTTATGCCCGCCAAGTGCTTGATACGAGTGAAACGCTTTATTACACACGCTGCACTTATAAGACTGCTCCTGATGATTCTGATTATGCTGCTGATGAGGATTATGATGATGATTACCGTCCTGCGCGGCGGAAACTGGTGGAGGAGGAGGCGGCGGAAGCGGTGACGCTTGCTTCTCCTTGTCGATTCCACTAACCGAAGCCGGCGCGTCACGGCGGCGGCTGGGATCCTCCCCGCGGGCGAGCATGATCAAACAGAGCGCCAAGTACTTCTCCTCCTCGGAAGGCACGGCGTTTTCGCAGCGAGGACGCTTGGACCGCTTCTTCTTAAAGCCGTGACCGTCATCGACGACCTCACCGCAGGAGGGCGGCGGGAGGGGCGGCGGCGCGAGAACGGCAGAAGATTTGAGAGCTTCGAGGGCCATGGCGATCGGCAATCTGTCGGAATTGAACCGAATCACAGGATCGGCGGAAATCTGGAGAAAGTAGTTATAGAGAGAGAGAGGGAGTAACTGATGGAAGGAGTAAAGCAACAGACAAGTGGGTATGAGTGAAAGAGAGAGAGGGAAGCAAAGTTTATATAGCGAAGACGGCGGAGGAGGTTTGGAAGTTGCGTCAAGTAATGGCGGTGAAGGTGTTGTCCACGAATTGAATTGAAATTGGTAATCGCCATTTTTTACTAAGATAAGAATCGCCCAGGCCCGTTTTTGGATATTTTCGGCCGGCTTTTATTATACTTCCTTTTATGCCCACTCTCTTTTTTTATTTAAATACAAAAAATATATACACAATTTATTTATGAACCACTCTAGAGTGTGAGTGTGACAGAGCGGCTGAGATTGTTTTATTTGTAGCAAGTAAGTTTTTTTGTACATTAGTTAGGTGAAAAAGGTAAACGTTTTTGTATTAAAAAAGTAACTATATGTCATATGAAGAATCGTATATAGCCACTTTTATTAGGAAAAGGGATACTTTTATGTTCATTAAGAAAGCATGGAATGGAATAGGTGCTTTGTTATTACTCCCTCTATATCATCATAAGTGTCCTAATAGATTTGTCACGTAGTTTAATATCACGTATAATGCTATAAGTTTATTGATTTTTTGTCGACTTTTTAAGAAGTAAGAGATTTTTTATGGTGTAACATTATTATATACTTTATTAAAATGTTCTTTTGTTGTTTTTTAGATAGATTCATTTTTGCAAATGGAAATGTGACTATTAATTTGATACGGCCTGAAATGGAATCTATACTTTGAATGCTTTAATAATTATAGTAAAAGAAATGGAGTATTTTAAATATTTGAAAATAATGTTTACAGAAAATAATGTAATTGCATTCCAAAATATTCAGAAAAGACTATTATTCACTATTTGTATGTGGTTTGAGTGACTAGGAGGCCACTGCCATTCGCCCACGTGTCATCGGCAATCATGTCATTGACACTTAATTTTATTGTTGAATTTTCATCAGACGGTTTCTCTTCAAAAAAAGTCTTAGCATTTGACAGTGACTTGATGCCGATAGTAACATTTGGAAGTGGTGATAGTGATAAAAAGTTACAAATTGGAACAGTTTTGTCCAATTTAAATTGCTTTTATATTAGAAAATAAGCAATGGTCATGTTTTAACAAATAAGTAATGAGACTCATATATTAGAGAATTTATATCAATAAAAGATTCCAAGCATATATGTTGAGCTGTTTGGAGTGTAGGCTGGTAAGAGCATCTTAGTTCTTAGAGTATGGATTGAAATTGGTAATTGCCAGACTAAAGTAGTGAGAATTGTGTTTATATTCTTATCCTTTCTAAAATGAAATGCATGTTTATGTCAAAATAAAGAAATATTTTAATAAATTTTGGAAAATGTTCTCGGGCATTTATCCATTGATTTTGGTGTTTGCCTACCGAGATAATAAAAAATTCAAAATAAAGAAATAAAATGAAAATAAAAAATCCTATATGCACACTTGAAATAAATTGTAAATTTGTTCATGTAACAAAATAGAACTCATTATGAATTAAGATCTTTATATTCATTATTATGGATGCCAATTGTAAATCAATTAATTATGTGAATGCGTGTCAAAATACTCCAATCGAATGTAGGTTTAATTTCACCAAATATAACATACCTTTTTTCCAATGGTAAATTATAAAAAATGTTATTTTGCCCACCATGTTGGGAAAATAGCTAGAGATCTTAAAATTATTCAAAGCTAATGTCGTAAGTTATTAATGTGAATTACATAACGGATCAAACATTATGCAATACTTCCGTAATTTATCACTGAAGTCTAACGTTACTACAAACAAATGAACACTACGATACACCGCAAATTTATTATTTGTCGGAACTACTATAATGCTATGTTCAATCTAACATTAAATAAACTTATCAGTCAAATTAATAATTTATTACCAAAAAAATTACTATAAAAAATTAGATATAAACATATTTGGTTAATTGGTTACAGTAATAACTTAGTACACACACGGGCGTTAGCTTCACTACAAAAAATGCTGATTTGGCACAATTCTTTGACAAATATGCGTCAAAATTAAGAGTACTTGCCACGGAGTTGGCATGGTGTGTCAAAGCCAGGGCAATTTCAATGGCAACACCGTTTTAATTTGTGACTAGGAATTTTGCACGGAGCCATGCCAACAATATGTTATGATCCGTGCCAAGAAGAGTTTGTCCTCGCCATTACCGGCCCATATAGTTCGGTTTGAAGGATGTAGCGGAGCCGCCGAGCTCAATTTAATTTGAAGGACTCTTTCGAATGATCCAACAATTCGTTTTGAGCGGGAGACTTTTCTTTCTTTTAACTCCATGTAGAACTCAATAAGATTAGACGATTTTCATCCAACATGAGGAAATATAAATTAAAGAGAAGTGGTCGAACAAAGCTTCATATTTATTTGGTGCTGGAGTTCGAATGTCTCGTTTAGAGTTTAGTTTACTGTTATTAGTGCCTAAGAGGTTAATAATCACAATTGAGGTTTATGTGAAGGTCCAAGTTTGAAGGTCGCATATCAGTTCAATGCTGTTAATTAGTGTCACGAAAGAGGTTAATCATATTTAACCTAGCTCTAATTTTTATCCAATTGCCTCAATTAGTATTGCATAACTTATTAAATGTACGTAATACCCTACCACACCAAACTTATTTACAATTTATGCACGTACTAGTTTGTTGTACTTAGTGGGGTTTTCCCCACCTTCTTCATAATTAATCATAATTAACTCAAATTCAAAATCAATTGGAAATTGGACTTCAAACTTTCTCTGATCTCTCATTATGTCTTTGATAGTGTGATATTGTTGTGATGAACTTGTTAATAGTGTGTGTGAACGTCAATTGAACCGCGGCCGTCAATCTGTCATTATTAATCCTCGCGTATGGCCGCGATTCATTGCACGTACAATTTGTGTACATGTTTTTTGTGCACATATTTGACACACTTGTCTGTGTATGCAGATAACTCTGTAGAGCATCGTAGAGTTATCTGTATACAAACAACTTTATTCACGAAGACAGACACATGTATCAAAAGTAAAAAGGAGTACACCAAACACTTTTCTCATAAATACTCCGTATATCCTATACAAGTAAGATATAGGTTGTGGCATAGCTATCTAATTGAAGTAAAAATAAGGATGGAAAAGAATTGACGTGAAAGAGAGTAAGAGGTAACACGTCGTGTAATGAGTTGGTGGGTGGGCCGGGCAGATAAGTGCAAGAGATCAGTCAAAGAAGAGTGGGGAAAGCTAGCTAGATCAAAGCTCTGATTTGGCCGGTAAACCTACTTAATTAGTGTATGGTCGAGACTGAAGAAGTGTAGATATGTGATGACTGGTCAATTTCGGAGCTAATTTCTTCCTTGATTATTTATTTGTAACTTTTTTACTGGTCAACATCAGTTTTTGGGCCTTCCAATTTTTAATAATTACTCCCCAAACTTTTTTTTACTATTGGAAACTTAATTTTCCTTATAATAATTACTAGAGTTACAAGTCACAATACACGTTCTTAATTACTAAGTTGCTGCTGATTGCGGGGTGGCTGCCGCAACACACGTTGAAGATGTCGCATTTGTACTCAGTCAACTAAAAAAATTCGATCCACACCGAATGTGTAGTGAACAAATATGGTTACGATGGTAGCATTGTATTTGGTCCAGTCAAAGTAGTGTGGAATATGAGACTGATTCCACACACAAAATGAATGAGTAATGTAAGATGCTAAAGTAAATTATCTATGTGTGATTAATTATCTTTCACAAGAAGCTTTGGCATTTGTTTTTGTTTTCGGGATGGGATTTATTTTAAAGATTATATATGAAAATTAATTAATACTCCCTCCGTTCCGTTAAGATTTTCTCAGACATTATTCACTTGGTCAAAACAAATCATTCTTAATCTCTTACTTTATACATCAATTTTTTATCAAATCTATTTTTGGTTTTTGCGACTTTGTAAAGTTTTTAATGTAGTTTCTGAATATTTAATTCTTTTTCTAAAAATAATTTGAATGCGGACAACGATATGTTTGCTTTGTCGTCGGTCGAGCATCCCAAACATAATGGGACGGAGGTAGTACTACTTAGTGGATGTTCATGGTGCTTGAAATGAAAAAGATAAAATGAAATTTAAAAGGTTTTTCTGTGCAATAGGAAAAATGAAAAATAGTTTTAGTTTGCTTCCTTTTGTTTTCAACTTCTAATTTTTAATTGCTTAACTTTAAACAGAAACACTTCTTGATCTATTTAAATAGGCAACATTTAGTTTTAGAAGCAAATATTGATATCATTTTTTATGTTATTGTAAACACTCCTTAAAAATGATTTTCTTTACACATTTGGATTCAGGTCATATCCGATCAGACAAGAACAAGCTTGATTATATATAGATAATAAAGAAGTAAACACAATATTAGACTTCATTTGATCACACTTAGACAGACCGGTATATAGATTAAACTAGAATGAAATAGACCAAAACCAGCGGTTGAAATCAAACCTGGGAGCATATGTTAGACTTGAAATTTTAAGCCATAATTTCGTATCTAAGTAATCGGTAAACTATTTGGTTTCCTATTACACAAAGAAAAAGTTGTTTTACACGTCTCTGAGTGTACATGGCAATATATAAGTTCAAATTGTTTGTGTCACAGACAACAATGGTTGGTTTTTAAATCACATTGTACGGTGATATTGATAAATTTTAGAGAGAAACTTTTACTTCACATTTTTTTGTGGTTTATACAAGTTATCTTAAAAGCTTATAAACTTTATTTGTGCAAATTTAGGTGTATAAGTATGTGTACATCGAGCAACTTTAATTACACAAAGCTGTGTGCTAGGAGTACATTGATTTGAAAGGCGTTAGACACGCTGATCCGGTGATGGCGTAATATATGCGTCAATATGACTCTTTATTGGAAGCTAACTAGCTAAGAGTAAAATCGAAAGAAAAAATACCAAAGAACATGCGTATTGTGACTGTTTTCAAAAGTTCTCGTTAAGTAATTTACAAATGTAATTAAAAAGTAGGTTAATAAAATAATATTTCGTGATTTACAAATTGTTTATGTGCAATCCTTGGTCAATTTGTGAGTCCTTTGCGCAATCATATTAGAGTTGACCTATAGATTTGTGTATAGTGAGTGTTTGGATAGATGTTATGTGTTCTCCCCCAACCGTCCAAATTAGTTTCTCCAATCTTGATGAATGTTCCTAAATCCTAATATCGAATTTGGAAGTTTTTGAACTAGCGTATAAATTCAATAGAATTTGGTTGATTTAGGCATGGATTCAGTCCCGGTCCGGTTCCGGTTTTGGATTTGCCGGTCCCGGAGATTTTTATATAAGCTCGGGCCAAACCCGGACATAAAGGGTCCCGTCTAGTTCCGGGTACCTGACTGGTGCTGGATCCGATCCCAGTCTCAGACTAGTTTCGATCATTTTCTTTAAATTACAATTATATAATAATATTAATTTAATACAAAAAAAATTCATATTACATATGAAACGTAAATTTATATGAAACATTAAATTGACATGTACATTTATGGAAAAGATATTCAATTACAGTTTGGAAAAGAAGGAAAAGACTTGATTGCTAAATTAAAAATGTAGGCAAAAATACCAACACATTACAAATTTCACACTCTTCCGAACTCTCGCTTTCTTGGTCCGTTGTGATTTTCAACCAATCGTTAATTTCACACTCTTCGGAACTCTCGCTTTCTTGGTCTGTTATGACTTTCAACCAATCGTGAAAGCGGACGAATGTCTCAAGAGATTTTGCACCTAACTTTTTTAACCAACACTACACAACTTGATACTTCGTATTAGACAAAAAGTATTTACTTTTTTAACCAACACTACACAACTTGATACTTCGTATTAGACAAAAAGTATTTTCATGATCAATCATTAGCGTAACTTGTGTGAGGCATAATACAAAATTGGGTCTTAAAGCTTAGTTTGGTTTACCGCGTACCTATCCCCAAGTTATATTGCCTTGTATTTGAACATAAAAGCCAAATTTATTTTCCTCCAAAAAAAATACAAATTGAGATATAGCAGTTTTGTTGAATGAGAATTAAAAAGTAGGTCGCAAATTTGGAGATAAAGTTTCCAAATTTAAGAGTGCAGTACTGGCCAAGTGGCTGAGTGTGAAGTCGTCCAAGTATAGACACGTGGCAACGTGATGAATTGGATAAAAAAGAAAGAGGAAGACACGTGGGGTTTAAGATTGGTTAGAGATAGTTCCCGAGTGTTAGGGACAAGTTAAGTGGGAGACTTAAGGGATCGTGAGATGGAAGAGACGTCTTTCTTCTAATAATAATTTATATGAAAATGGAAGAGATAAAGATGAATCAATCCTAAAAGCCTCCAAGGAAAGAACTGGACGGTGTGATGGGGGGATTATTATAAGTTAGCCAGCCGGCACACAATCTCTTTCCACGTGCCCCTTTGGTTCCGGCCAGCAAAGCCAAGCTTCGGTGGTTGGAGTGGTTCTCCCACTTCCTTCTCCAACTATTGTACACTCTTCTACTAGAGTGAAATTAGAGGAGTTACAATGTTCCACTAAATGATAAGGGGGTTTTTCACTTTGACTGTTTTGTGGTCTCAGATCAAATCAGACTTAAACATATCAGATTAAACCAGACCAAATCAGGTCAGTTCAGACCAGACTTTCGTACTTATAAAATACACAAAAACCAGACATTTATCAGACAAGATCAGATCAGTTCAGACCAAATCAGACTTAAATAGATCAGACCGGATCAGTAAATTTTAGCCCAAGTAAAAACATCCTCAGAGACTTAGAGTTCTTTTTGTATTTAAATTGTGTGGTTGATGTTTGTACATATAAAACTAAAAATGAGCAAAGTCTAAAATAGTTACTTTAGTATAAAAGTGCCAAAGTATTTTGAAACAATCAAAATTGAAAAGTTGGTAAAGTCCAATGAAAAGTGATACGGAGGGAGTATCTATTAAACGGATGAGTATATAAATTGATGAAGACTTAGAAAAATAGTTATGAGTTTAATAGATACTCCCTCCTTATCACTTTTATTGTCCAACTTTCCCTTTTTGGGTGTATAAAAAAGATTGTCCCGCTTTCCATTTTAGCAAATAAATCCACTCAAAAAGAAGCTATAATATTGCTACAGTACCGCTACAGTACTGCTACAGTACCAAAAAACTCCTACTATTTCAAAAAAGTGTACAGCTTACTTATAAATTTTCTTAAACTATTACAAAACGAGACCGAGGGAGTATATGTTATATAAGAAAATTCATGATTTAGCGATCGACTACTTTATTTTGTGCTGACCTGCCGCATTATTTATGTCTACCCTGTCTAATGTTATGATAAAGTAGATATTTCTGGTACGAGTAGTGGAACTAGAAGTATCATCATAGATGGTAATATGTGTATCACGATCGCGCCATTTTTCATTGTCTTCTATGTGACTCTGTGTAGAACAATTTCAATGGTTGATTTGGATGGGTTGCTTATACAATTTGATAGGAAATTGCCTGCCAATATAACAATGCTACTCGTATGTATTAAATTAATTAGACTCACTAACATATTGACTTTGATTACTCTTAGTGTGGTTTCATCTAAGTGATTTACGGCTCAATTGAATGATCTTAACTTAATTCAAAATTTTAACGTTAGGAAAAAGTGTTACTTTTCTATTTCATGTGCAAACACTTGCAGAGTCGTAGTCGCTCATGGTTAATTTTGGACAACTAACTTTCTTTTATGCTAGTTCAACAACTCTTGTTCATTACGCTTCATTTTAGCTGATGGTATTGACTATTGATCCCATCATTCACTTTTAGTAACATTTACTAGAAGAGAACGTAAAGGGTGTAAAACAAAAGCAAAACGAGATTGAGATAAGGGTTTATGTCTACATACTAATCTCAAAATACTCTTGATACACACTTTTTGTACACATATAGAGTAGACCGTTCTAATTGTTTGTTTATACCGACAATTCGTTCAGAAGCTACCTTCTAGACAGCCAACGGTTTACACCATTCCAAGCATTGTTCTTTCAATTTTATATTTTCAATTAAATCTTTACATTATTCCTATTTGACATTTTGACCATAACATGAAATCCGCGACATTTGATACTACCACAACTTTAACTATCAAGTTTGATTGAATTTTGTATTTAACTCTATGACCTTTTGTATCAATCACTAAAGTTTATACACTTTATTTAAAACAATAAGGGCTACTATATTCTACATACTAACTTAATTTAGCCCTTTTTAGGCTATATAGCCGTTTGTCCCAAAGAAATTACGAAATGGCACATGAAAATATAGAGATGAAATGTAAGACATTTGCAGAAACTCATCAAGTAATAATGAGCTACTTTGAAGACAAAAAGAAGTAAAGCAATGTGAAAAGAGAGTGTAGCAGAGAGAACAGATGGAATATGTATAATAACTCCAAAAAAACCCTTTGGATCCACTAGCTGTTAGACTTTTTGACTGAATCTTTGGTCTCTTCTAACCCATGTAAAACCTATGTATTTTGTCTAGAAGACAGAAGAGGATGATTTAGGTGTTTAGTTCTAGAACACCGCCATAATAATAGGATAATGTAAAGGAACGGTGGGAGTATGGTTATCCGCCTGAAATGAGATTGGTAAACCGAAACTTCAGTGCCCATGTGATTATTTGTAATAAAATGTACCAAAAATGTAATAAAAAATTGAATTGAAACAAGAAAAAACAAGTATGGCCAAAATGTACTCCTTCCATTCCTCTAAAATTGTTTCATACTCTGTATTTCATTTTTAGTTGGTCTCATACTCTCATTAAATTTGCTTCATAACAAACTGAGTAAAGTATGAAATTGTATATATTATTCTTATTTTATTTTAACTTTATCAATTCAATATTAATCATGTAAACTGGCATTTCTTAGTAAATGTACTTTGGCATATGACAATGTTAGTAGAACGGAGGTAATATGGATAACAATATGGCCTTGCTAATCTACCCTTGACGTGGTGATGAAACATAGCAGCTGGACTGCATCAATCGGTTGCTTTACTATTAATTGCACAATTGATGGGTTTGTCTGGATAGATTCTATCTGTTTACTGAATAGAAAAATAGAAATTTGAGGTCCGGATGTAAATACATAATAAATTCTATTTAAGATATTCAAACTCACTTCATTATCTCCTATCCTATTTTTGGAAGTGACCACCGGAAAAAGATAAGAAAAATCGCTACAAGTCAATCCATAAGAATAAAGCGGTTACTAAGAAACTCCTCAAATAATGTCTAACATCACTAGACTCCAAAGAAAATTGGCTAACCAACAAAAGAGGATAAATTGCCTATTTAGTCCCATTACTTATCCGACCATACTATTTCATTTTCATTGAGTTTTACAAAAGATCATCACTAGACCTTAGTTATAACTTTGAGTGACCAATTTTGTCACTTAAATCTAATCTAATAAGGAAAAAATTGGACATACTTTTTCGGACAAACGTCTATGAGCAACTATTTTTTTGTAAATTGCCTATTCATATGTTTTGTATGTGAGTAGACAACGACAACAACGGTAAGAACAACAACTAAGTCTTAATCTCAAAAAAATTTAGGGTCGGTTAACATGAATCGATCTATGATATTGAGGGAAAAAAAGGAAAGATAAAAGGAAAAAAAGGATAAGATAAAATGGATACAATAAAGATAAATACTACCTCCGTCCCAATAGACTTTGCACTCTTTGAATTAGGTGAGAAAATAAGAATAGTAAAAATTGTGTGGTTGAAGTTTGTGTAGAGGAAAGAGAAATGAGCAGATTCACATAATAGTTACTTTAATAGGAAACTGACAAAGTTTTTTGGGATTACCAAAAAGGAAAGTTGGCGAAGTCCAATGGGACGGAGGGCGTATAAAATAATAATAATATAAAAATATAAGAAAAATAAAAGATAAAAAGTTAAAAGAGTGAAAGAGGGTTTCAGTCTTCAAGTTGCAGCTTAGCTTCTTCATCTCACCATGTCTAGGAGAAAGAACAGAGAGCCCAAGGAGGAGACTGTTACCCTCGGACCAACATTGAGAGATGGGGAAAAGGTGTTTGGTGTTGCACACATTTTTGCGTCATTCAATGATACTTTCATTCATGTTACTGATTTGTCCGGAAGGGAAACCCTTGTTCGTATCACTGGTGGGATGAAGGTGAAGGCTGATAGAGATGAATCCTCTCCTTATGTCGCTATGCTTGCAGCACAAGATGTGTCGCAGTGCTGCAAGGAACTTGGTATCACTGCACTTCACATCAAGCTCAGAGCTACAGGAGGGAATAAAACAAAAACACCTGGACCTGGTGTCCAATCTGCCCTGAGAGCCCTTGCTCGTTCGGGCATGAAAATTGGCCGTATAGAGGATGTTACTCCAATCCCCACCGATAGTACCCGTAGAAAGAGTAGTAGAAGAGGAAGAAGGCTTTAAGTCTCTTTACTTTTGTTATGTGGTTTATCTGATTATCTAGACAGCAGTGGAGAATGTTTTCTGCCATTTCCCCAATCTTTTGAAGTTCTGGTGTGAGTGAACTATTTGATTTTTCTTGATTATTATTACCCAAGTCAGCTATTCCTTTTTAACATTTCATGTAGTTATACAATATTTTAAAGAGAATTGACTACTTTTCCGAATTGATATGTGTTTAAATTGCCCTTTCTGCTTGATCTATCCGTTCTTCACATTTGCTCAATTATTATTCTTACATTTTAGTGTGTACAATTAGTTAGTTGAAAAGTTAATTATAAAAAAAAATTAAAAGTTAAAAGAGTGTAAAAAAGATAGAAGATAAAAATATCATAAGAACTTAAAAAGATAATAGTCTGTGAACAGATTATTCACAGAAAAATATCTGCTCACGGGCGTGTATAAAATAGTGTGTATAAAAAGCGTGTACAAGAATACTATTTGATGTAATAATTTGCGTTCGTCAAAATTCGATTGATGGGCATGATTTTGAGGACAAATTAATACCCCGTATTAGATTTCGTACGCTAAATTGTGCAATAATAATAAAAAGTTAGAGTTCAGTTTTATATTCACATATCACAGTTTTTATCTTAGCTAAAAGGAAACAGATCATTTTTGGGCATACTAGGAGAGAGAGCAATTGGGCTGCTCATCATCTGGCCCAATTGCGGGTTGATAGACTGATTATTTACTCGAGCACGGGTCAACTACCCACATTTGCGAAACGGGCTTTTTGGATGGATTATTTTGGCATTCCTTCAGTTAGAATTTGATTTTATGTGCCTTTGTTTTTATTTGTTCGGGTTCGGTTTGCCCCCCCCCCCCCCCCCGATTTTCTTGTACTTCCTTTATTTACTTTAATAAAATATGGTAAATGTCCCCCGACATTTACCCCACTGATTTTGGTGGTCGACCTTCCGGGGTAAAAAAAATATTACAGTTTTTATCAAACACGTTATTTTTTATTCAATTAATTTTAAAATTATCAAACATGTTCTAAATATGAGAAATAGAATACATCGTTCACCAATGTTAAGTGGATTACATTGTCTACATCTAGGGATGGACTCGGGCCGGGCGGCCCGGCCCGGAACCGGCCCGGCCCGGTTACTGTTTGAACCGGCCCGGCCCGGGAACCGGTCCGGGGGGCGGTTCGGGTCGGCCCCGCCCGGTTACTGTGCGGTTCGGGCCCGGGCCCTTTGATTGGCGAACCGGCCCGGCCGGTTCGGGCCCGGTTTGGGCCAAATTATTATTATTATTATTTTTTTTTTGAATTTTTTTTAAGTTTTTGGGTTGGGCTTGGTATTTTGGGCCATTTGAGGTGGTTTGGGGTGGTTTGGGGGTGAGGGGGAGGGTTGGGGATTAATTAGGAAAAGCCAAAAAAAAAAAATAGAACCGAGGCCCGGCCCGAACCGGAACCGGGATTACCCGGGCCGGTTCCGGGCCTCCCATTTCTGAACCGAGGCCCGGCCGGGCCCAGGCCCGAACCGGGCCCGAACCGGAACCGGTCCACCCATATCTACATCTAGTGATCAGAGAAAGCAATTTTGTTATAGTTCAATTTTATACTACATATTACATGAGAGCTTTGCACAAAGAAAGAATATATAACAATATAAAAATACCCCAAATGGAGAATCTATCTTGAAACAGGAGTCCGAGACTACTCATTCACTATGGTAGGACACACATTCACGAGTAGTGAGAGTACTCATTCACGAAGGACTTAATTAGTGAATTAATTTGCTCATTCATATATCAAATTCAATGCACATTGAACATGCCAAAAACTTCCCAATATAAAGTGAATATGAGCACAGTCCGTATAAAAATCATTATTAAATCATTGACATTCAGCATCATTAACGGTCTTTTTCAGACGTTATTAACGGCGTGACTCTCTTGTGACAACGGAATTCAAACACATGAACCACTTTGATAAAGACTGAAACACATGACCCTATCTGAAAACGGACCCAACCACAAGTACTTTTTCCGCACTTTTCCCACTATTCATTCTCACTAAAATATTTCACATTATGAATTAAGATAAAAGGAACTTAATAGCAATGTTTTAAATTACAAAGGTTAGCCTGAATAAAGTAAATAAAACTGGGAATAGCAATAAAAAATGTTTATACGTACGAACGTTGTTAAATGGTGAACCATACTAGCTCCATTATAGCATTTCAGTACATTTCCACTTACAATGATTCGGTAAAGTGGTTCAATTCTACAAATTGCGATTGAGAATAACAACACCATAAAGGAGTCGTTGATTTATAAGCTTCAATTCCATCATCATCTTTAAAAGGGAAGATGAAAATCACCTTTTTGTGAAATTGTGGAGTCCTTAATCACAAGTCGTCATTAATTAGTTTCAATCATTATTAGTGCAGGATGGATCTAGTCCACTCATCCATGTATGGAAGAGAAGAGTTTGGTTAGGCAAGTGATTAACAAAGTGATTAACTTAAGCAATGGGCTCTAAAGTTTAGGGGACAACATCATGGGAATGGGAAACATAGGCCAAACAAATGACCTGACCAGACACAATCCCTTCCCAATTGCATGTGATTTTGTTAGGTGAAATGCACACATAAGACTAATCCTCAAAGACATCAGATGTAGAAGTTTATCAAACACATAGCTACTACAGCCAAACATCTGAATTTCAGCAGCTAAAATGTGTCTAATTAACATCAAACAGAAACTACCTCTGATGGGTTATGGTCTTCACAATTTAAGCATATTACTTCTTGAAAATTACTATATATACAGTGAGACAGTGAATGGGAAATCAGGGGCACTAAGGTGTTTAATTAGTTTGGTAAGATGTAATGAATTGTAATTAAAAGCATGTATAATGTGAAATCACACTAAATACATTTGGTTTGGTTTATTACAGCTGTTATTAGGTGGCTCCTTGTTCATGATATGGCTGCAAACATAAATAAGAGGTTATGGTACATGTTGTATGCGCCACAAGTAATAGTTACACACTATTTATATTATTATATGTAGATACTTATTTATACTCCCTTTGTCTTAAAACAAATTGCAAGGATTTTTTCTTGATCAAAACAATTTCATTTTAACTACTTATTTAGCATATCATTTTTGGTTATATTCTAATTTGGACTTTACGATTTTATAGAACCTTCGATGTAGTTTTCTATGTAAATTTTAATTATCAAAATTGATTTAATTATGTATATGGATTATTTAATTTTATAGTCAGTCAACCTAAAATCCACAAATTACAATTCAGTTTGGAGCAGAAGAAGTATTATTTTTCAAAATTGCAAGAATCCACACAATCTATGTGAGTATAAATAAAATTGTTCATAGGGTAAATAGGGGAATCAAAACTTGTGACTGTAAATCTGTCATGTAATGTAAAACATATGAATTGTTAATACTGTAATACATTATACATATGTAGTAAAAAAACATTGAGGTTAATATACTTACCTGCATAGGGTGAAATTGAATGACATTTGACTGACATTTTGAAAAAGAAAATGATGACACCATCTTTGAATCCTCTCAAAACTGGCCGGACAGTTAAATCACAAGCTGACAGATAACGAGTGGGCTTTGGCTAAGGTACTTGAGAAACTCAATGCATTTTTATATAGTAATCTTTCATCGCACTTGTAGAATTCAAACCCGATAAATGAAAATGAATATGGAGCGTTAGATGTGTGAATTGTGTTTTAAGCAGAAAAAAATGTGCACCATCATTTTTATAAATAAATTTTATAAATAAATTCAATGTTTATATTAGTTTGAGATGTACATTATCTTAAATATAAATGTGCATCACCATAAACCACAATGTATGGTTTGAATCGTTCACATTTTTCACAGAAATAAGTGTTTTCAATAGAATCGACCGTACACACTACGTATAATTCAATTCAAATAAAAACTTAATTTTATTTGAAAAGTAAGAACTAATCATGTAAAAACTTGGTGGATGAAATCAATTTCCAAACCTTAAACAAGATAGTATTATTATAATTATGAAAAACATTTTTCAAGTATTAGCTAAATAAAGTGTGTTAATGTATACAATAAGTGCATTCTTTAAGTGAATTAGTTTACCAAGTGACATGTACATTACTCCAAAATCATAATAACAATTTTTAAATGTACATATATGTTTATTGTATTTTTTAAAATTTCGCTATTAGGATTCAAAATGGAACTATTTTTTTTTTGGATTTTTTTGGGCACTGTCACAGAATAAGAATAAGCCCATGACAGTACCTAATGGGCTGTTCGGCCTATTCCAGCAGCTCATGGATTTCAAAATCACTTAGGGGGTCCCCGATTTAGATTTAGATGTGATTTAGAAATCCACGAGAATTCGGGTGTCCTCAACTTGGATTTTAAAAAATCCCTTAAAATTCTAGTATCCCCAATGATTCCATGGATTTATTTCTTTTGGATTTGAGCAGATTTTAATGGAATTGAGTATAAAAAATAACACCAATTCATTCTTCCGATTGTCTTGACCTCATCCCTCGGATTTGAAATCCACCAGCTAAGGGTGGACCGGTTCCGGTTCGGGCCCGGTTCGGGCCTGGGCCCGGCCGGGCCTCGGTTCAGAAAAAGGAGGCCCGAGCCCGAACCGGTGGTGGGCGGTTCCGGTTCCGGGCCAGAACCGGGCCGGGCCGGGCCGGGCCACCCGGAATTTTTTTTTTTTTCTTCTTCTTCTCTTATTTAACCCCCTACCCCTCCCCCTCCACCCCAAACCACCCCAAACCACCTCAAATGGCCCAAAATACCTAATCCAACCCAAAACTTAAAAAAATTTCAAAAAAAAAAAAAAATTAAATTCCGGCCCGAACCGGGCCCGGCCCGGCCGGGCCGGTTCACTAAACTGGAGGCCCGGGCCCGGACCGGTATACCACCGGGCCTGGAGGCCCGAACCGGAACCGAACCGGTTCACCGGGCCGGTCCGGGCCCGCACAATAGCGGGCCGGTCCGGTTCCGGGCCGGTTGGCCCGGCCCGAGTCCATCCCTACCACCAGCTTTCTCCCGACTTCTTTGCCACTTCCTCCAGGTAAATCGCTTCTATTCTCTTTCCGATCCCATGTTATCTTCTTCAATATTCTTCAAATATGATTTATGTATTACGTAGTATTTCATAGGGTTGGCCTTTTGATATGCTTGCAGATACTCCAGAGCAACACAATGATAGCAGAGCATATTTGACATGTCTGTTGCTAGAAGAAGAAAGAAGAAGATTAACGAGGAATTAGCTTGGGTGGTAGGCAATAAATAGGGATGGACCGGTTCCGGTCCGACCGGCCCATGGTCCGACCTGACACTGTTTGGAACCAGGCTGGCCCGGCCCCGGGGTTACATAAGGCGGCTCTGGTCAGCCAAAATAGGAACCGGCCCGACTGGGGCAACCCGTAACACACTAACACCATAAAAGGTTTCATCACAAGGACTGTTTTTAGAAGTACAAAACCAAGAGGTGGATTTAATAAAATGTATTGTTATCTGTTACAACCGTAATATTACAACTCATGCTGTCATAAAAACATGCATGAAGTAGAACTAATTCTCTCTGCCCCTTCACTACTTCCTATTATTACATTACATGACACAAAGATATGGTAGTAGATGCAGCATTATTGTCCCACCACAAAATACTTGGGTGAAGATGCGTGTGATTCCCTTCCTCATTATCTGAAAACGAGAAAATAATACCATGGCGTAAATGGCGGAAAATGGTCTACCTTCTCCGCAGCAGAATTATGGCACTTGTCCCAAAAATTAACTAGCCTCTCAAGCATGGATTTCACCGGTGTGATTTGGAACTTCACTCTGGCTATCCAGTGGCATGTATTGTGCCATTATGGCCCTAATCTCTGAGTCCATATATGTCTGAGAATGGAACAGCCAACACATCAAACATTACAGATGGCCAAAATGTCACATTTAGTCAAAATTAAAACTCACTTTTTAGTTCATAAACTTTACAATTCACACCATTTTGGTTTACTTCATTACGTTTTCCATCTATTTTACCATTAAATATCATGTTGCATCCCACACGGTACACTATTGTACTATTTACGTCATACCATGCACAAAATCTATAATAACCTTATTTATAGCGAGCGACACATACTTTTGTGTGCAATAAACATATATTATAAAAAAATAATGGCCAAAATAAATCTAAAGTTTATTAAATTATATTTATTGTATAACAATTACTTTAGGTATATGCAAGTGTGAGTATGCGCTAATGCTAGTATGCTACCATATACTATGTATATTATATTATGATGTAAATTAAGTGCTTCTTAGTGTTGGAACAGAGGGGGGTACGATGGGAAAATAATACTTACTCTCAGCCTATATTTGTATATGAGATATGCCCCACCAGAAACGGCAGCTAATCCTATCAAAATTATCCAAACACCAGCCCAAGAAGATTTGACTTGGGTGGCTGTCTTACCTGCAATGGCGAAGAATTATTTCAAATGTACTCTTTGTAGGTGAAATATAAAAAACTTAAAAAGAAGGAAATCACAACATACTTATGCATGTATCATGATCTCTCATGTACAAAAGGTCATTACTGCAAGAGCATTCGTAATCACCCCACGTATTCTTGCAGCTGCATTCAGGGCACTGGCAAGCTCTCTTTTCTTTGCACTCATCAATATCTAATAATCATAAAACGAGATTTAGTACCAGAAAAAAATCAACCAAAAACTATGGAGGGTAATGGAAATGTAAAACACTAAATTCGTCTTACCTTCACAACTCTTACCGTCACCTTTGAATCCAGGAGGACAAGTGCAATTCCCTTCTCCATTAATCTGTTGTAGAGAAAAATATGAATTTGGAACTGCATGGAAGCGCAGCAGTCTCCTAGACAAAGATAAACAAAGAACGATGCGCATATAATAAAAATTTAAAACTTTTGGTCCCTGACTTTCAAATGTTTCTACTTTTGGTCCTTTCAGCCAACTCTGTGCCATTTCTGGTTGATTTGCGCTGGATAAGGGACCAACAGTGTCAAGTTATTCATAGTCTTGCACCAACAATGGGAGGGGAAATAAGGGGACCAAAAGAGAGAACGATCTAAGATTAAAAGCACAAAAGTGAAAAAAATTTTTATGCGTATTAAATGGTAACTGACCACACAAGCCGAGTAGCTGTGTCCATTCCTAGTTTCATGCCAACACCCCCCGTGGTTGAGGTGACACCGTCCGGGTCCACTTGCTGCAAATAAAAACGCTCATAGTAATAATAATAGAAAAACATGGCATTGACATGTTCACAAAGTACATAAATTGACAAAGTTTGTAGACTTGCCGTAGCAAGAGTTGTAACCATCTCCTTTAAACTGCACACCATCAACCAAGGGGCACTCACACACTCTTCCACGAAAAGTATCTTGAGTATATACACACAAAAGGGCTTTGGTTATACAAAATTAGAATAAAAGTGTTATTACTTGGTATAGTCTTCTTTTGGTCATCGACTAATTTCAGATCCAGTTTTTGTCTTCACAAGTATTTGGTTTTAAATTAGAAGGGTGTTTTTGTCCATTAACTAAACATAGACCTAACTTCAAACAACCCATTTGACCCTCAACTGTGTCATTTGGACCAAATTCAGTTTCCCATGATGAATATACTATTCTAAAATCTAAATTAGAGAAACATAAGTCTAGGGTGGATTGAGTAAGTGTAGGGTGGATTGAGTAAGTCTAGGGACAAATCTGGTATTAACTCCAAATAAATAAGCTACTAAAGCTAGGCAATGTAAGAACCTTGCAGGCTGTTACGTTGGCAGCTTTGTCTTGCCAGCAGCCAGCATTGTTGTCTAAACACTCATTTGTCTCTATATCTGTTATAAGAAAATAGACCATCAAAGCTCAAGTAATGGGTAAATGTGTCACGTAAAAATCATATTTTTGCTTTGTTTGGATAATAAAAAAAAGTTAGAAAGAAAGAAATACGATAGACAGAAGGTGAAAAGAGAGAATGAGTAAAAAAACGGGCGTATTTTTTGGGTGTTTGGATTGACAGAATTGGAGAGAAATAGAAGAGGTACAAAAGTTATTTTTTGTCTTCATTGGTTAGACAGAAAAGTGAAAAGGAAGAAAGTAAATTTCCTTGTAAAGACATATCTGCCCTTACTAAATGGAAGTGTAGAGAGATAGTATGGTTAACCTGTTATTGGTCATGTTCCCACATTTTTTTACCATTCCTCCTACGTGTTTCTCCTCTCACGAAGAGAGTCCTTTCTGGATGGGACCCACATTATATTTTAGCTCATCTACTACTTCTCTCCCTAACCAATCAATGTAAAAGAACTTTTCCCTCTCGCTTCTTTCTTCACAATTTTTAAGATAACAAACAAAGGCTTAATCTCAGAAGTGAACATACCTCCGTTAAGGCAAACAGCAGGCTCAGTCGTTTCCTCAAAACCAGAACAGATTGCCTTTAATACAGCACCTTTTGCTAACTTCCCTGCAAGTAAGAGTATTTCAGAGGACAATGTCTAGCTACACACTAAAACAACTGATGTATAATCAGCAAAAACTAACCTCTGTACTGCCTATTGTTGACAACAAGGGTGGGCAATATGGTCACATCACCACGAGACCCTTTACCAATCTAGCAGAAGTTTTACTTGTCAAAATGATTGAAAGACCAGACAACATATAGAAATGAATAGGAAAGTCATTAATATGTACTTGAGCATCTTGTTCTTCTTTCAAAACAGGGTTATCAGAATCAGCATTGGGATCTCCAAGGCACTTCTCTATCTTTTGCATATCAAGACCTGTCGGGTAAGTAAGATTAGCATTAATTAAGCTATTGAGAATTTGAGAGCATGTCTGGAATAACTTAAGAGTAAAGGGTCAGTTTGGTCCTCGAAGTTGCATTAAAGGGGTTAAATAAGTCCTTATATAGAAGATTCTGTCCGGGCGTGCCATTTGAGGCGGTTCCCGGTGGAATTTTTTGAGCATCTTATTCATTAAGTCTAGTTCACTCATACCAAATTTCAGATAAAAAATCAACCGGGAAGACATTCAAATGAATTCTTGAAGATAACTGTGCAGTTAAAAGCGCAGTTATCTTCAAGAATTAATTTGAATGTCTTCCCGGTTGAATTTTTATCTGAAATTTGGTATGAGTAAACTAGACTTAATGAATAAGATGTTAAAAAAAATCATCAAAAAATTCCACCGGGAACCGCCTCAAATGGCACGTCCGGACAGAATCTTCTATATAAGGACTTATTTGACCCCTTTTATGCAACTTCGAGGACTAAACTGACCCTTTACGTATACATGCTTTTTCCATATGTGCTATCTCATTTATGAACTTAAACCAATTTTCTAAAAATAACATCCAGAGAAATATCATTGTCAAGACACAAGTAGTACTCTTGCGGAGAGAAAAATACTTTTACTTCAAAAGGAAAAGTTTAGCAGAAAAACAAGGAAAAATGCTTTAACATTAAAAAAAAACAGTTCTATGGTATGTCTAAGAAAGCTGCAAATCAAATTTTCTCAAAAAATCACTTTAAGTGCTTCAATGTGAAAACATTTATGATAAACTATTAATCTGCTCTTGAAGTAAGCATTAAAAGTGAACTTTTATATTCCTTAGAAATTAGAAGCATTTATCACGTTTTCCGGCCATAAGCTTCTTCTTTTAATAAAAGTGAATTTCTTCCACCAAAAAACACTTATTTCTTGAGAATAAGTCATCTCAAATTCAAGCTGGGACTAATGTGATGATAATTACTATCTTTTATAAAAGTGTACCTAAGGATTTGATGACACCATCAGCACATTCCTTGTTATATTTTTTTTCCTTCATGGGGCACCGAATTTGGAAGTCTGTCACATAATCCCACCAAACCCATGGCTTTTTAGTCTCTTTTGCAACTTTGAAAACACAAAGCTGCCTTAGATTTTCAACAACAACATCCTTCCCATCGTAACCTGAGCTAAAATCCTGTTCAGGATCAGGAGCACAATATCTTCCATGATTAATGCATTGCGACTTGCACTGCTTGCTCACAGTGAAAGCCTGAGGGCAATACCATGTTATATAATGTGGGGTGAATTCTGTGTATCCACCTTTCTCTAAGATCTGCGCTGCTCCTTTAAAATCTTTCACAAACCTCATCAACATGTCACACTTATACCCGCACTCATCATTGTTGTTTGTCCAAAGCTCATACTCAACCCGATCATCTGGATGTGGGACTGATTCTCTCCAATCAAGATTCACATTGACCATTTCTCCCTCCGTTAATGATTTCTTCATCTTCTCCCCGAAACTTTTCTCCACAAGTGCAGATGGAATGGTTATGTTTTCCACATAGCTTGAAGAAGACCCATCCTCTTCCGGTGAGTCCATGGTAATCAACCGTTCATCCACATCATCCGCGACTAAAACTGCCGAAGCACCAGCCTTCTGAGCATTCCAGAATAGTTTCTTCCCTTTTTGCTCAAAACAATATAAAATTACCTTAGCATCTTTAATATGGTATGTCCAATTTCATCAAAATCCTACCCACATCAAGGTCAGTGTGGACAACTCCATAACTAACTAAATGCTTTAAATAGTAAGAACCTCATATCAGTTATCAATCCTTTAAATAGTAACAGACAGATAAACAAAATCAGCACCTCCTCGATCGAAAAGAACAAAGGTGGGCAAAGAACCGGGCTTAGAGCTGAAAGAAATCCCAAATTCATGGAAATCCTTACATCCCTTTCGGTTATCCTTAGGGTAGACAATAACCCCAGTCATGCTTCCCCCATACTGAGGGACCCCAAAGTTCCCAAGGGAACAATCGTAAGTTCCTTTGATGGAGTCAGGTGAGAGAACTTTTAAGCTGTTCTTCTCTACCACGAACCGACCCGCGGCCGATCGGAGTAACGCCAGCAATAGTAACCCCAGCAAGACTGCACCTTTAGTCCTTTCAGAGCCCCCCATTTCCATGGATTTGATGTGCGGGGGAAGATTTGGGCAGAAGCTTGAAGCTATAAAGAAAATAGTGTTTATAGGGTTCCTTCCACACTGTGAGCCCGTGATGGTATCATGTCTTTTACACCGAGAGAGTATTGTACGATTAGTTTTTTAAGAAGAAACATAATCAACTACGGAGTATAATTAATCAAATCAAATCATGATTAAGAACATGCAAACTACAACAAGGATGAAACAGAGTTTGGCTGTAATTTGTTTTTGTTAGGAGTAAATAAATGAACAACAGTAATGGATGGCTGTAGTTTGTTTATGATAGTAGATTGACGATAGCAATGGTATTCCCTGTAGTGTTGGAGGCTTGGAGCCATTTTAAAAAGACATACGTAGTACTAGTAATAAATTGGCATTAATATATGTCTATCTATAGATAAATTTCATTTAAGAAGACAAGCAAATTAACAGTAGTAATGGATGGCACTTGCATGTAATATTACGTATTACCTATATAATCCTTATTTTTATTTTGTCAATTTTCTAGTTGGTACTTCTCAATTCTTAATAAGTTTTATTGTACTTTTTAGTTTTATCTTTCATACATGTTTTTTAATATTGTCTTACTACCTTAATTCCAACAATTTTGTCATATTTATAATTTTGACCAATTATATACCTCTATTTTTTGTTGCAATATTTTCATTTTCACATTTGTAAATACACAACTTTGACCGCTAATATATTTAATTCTCTATTTGATAAAATTTATAAAAGATCACATTTCAAAATTTTAAAATTAGAAGAATTTAGTTATATTTTTGAAAAATAATCTTTTAATGTATTCATAAATAAAATAGAGTCAAAGTAAAACACATGAAAAGTGTAAAATTTCTAATGTTGCAACTATTTAAGAAGTGAGTAGTATTTTTATTGGAAATTAATTATAATATAAAAATGATATGAAAATGTTTTTTGATATGTAAAAGTACTTTCACCTAAATCGATATGTAAATTGAAATTTGAACTTTTGATCATAAACTGATGAAAAGAGAGTTCCTCCCAGTTGAGCTACGCTCCGGTTATGTGTCAAGACTCAAGATACTATGGTTGAATACTTGGATGATATTTTTTTTGTTTTTTGCTTACAATATGGTTTCGTTGAAGATTTTCCTGAACATTCATCTAATTTTGAATTTAATAGGAATGACATTAATGTATATTGAGAAAATTTATAAAAAATCATACTTACTAAAGATGTTTTTAAATTGACTGGTTTCAATCCCTACTGAATCTTCTCAGAACTATTAGTTGGCTACTGACTCGTACGTTCTGGACCAAGGCCACCGAAATATTTACTCTTCTCTACAGAGCACCAAACTTGCAGTCAACTGAAAAGATAAAGATAAAAATAATTTTCATAAGTGTTTTTTTATTAAAACTATAAAAATTACTTATAACTTTATTTTTGTACCAAACAATGACCTAAACTAAGGAAGCATTAAAAAAAATCAAGCAATCAGCTACTATTTTTATTTTGTCTATGGCCAAAGAAGATAAAGCTTATCTCAAACTACATACCTTGAGATGAGGAAAGCAAGTTAAAACAAAGTCACAACTTGCCACAAAAAAAAGACTAAAAGAACCATGCTGCCTTTTCAGTTAAGTGGATCGACCTACGATCATGATTGAATCTCTTTAGCCAACGGAAGACATTCAACAACCAAGTCTATAAATACAGAAGGAGTGCGTGAAAACTAAGTGTGGATCTAAGAAGAAAAATGAGCTTATACGACATACCCAGCAAAGAAGAAAATGTTGAACACCACTCATCTTCTTAGTTCTCACTCCACTCTCCTAAGCTCTTAGAATAGTTCATATACATATACATCTTTAGAGCTTAGTTAATTGGTAGTTTAGCTTTACTCTTGTGAACTAGACTAGTTTGTAATCTCTGGATGGCTTTATGAGCAAATCGAGAAGGAATGTGAAAATCAAGGACATGAGTAAATTTTGGCTTATCAATGCCACTAGTGAAAATCTTGGAGGACTAAGTAACTTGGAATGGTGTTCTAATTCCTTGTGAAAACCTCACAATCTTTACCTACGGTCAATGATAGATTGGACACTAAATGTAATGAGTATATTCATTAAGTGAAAATCCATCTCAAAGAGGGTGGAACTGGATGTAGGAGGATTACACTACCTTTGAACCAGGATATATCTTGTGTTATCTTTTATATTCAGTTCCCACAACACCAACAATTCTCACTCACCTTCACATCTTTCCAGTCGCCTTAAAACAACTTCCTGAAACATGGATCAGTGAAATATTAAGTTTACTACATCTTAGTCTTTTTGTTCCTCATTCTTGTATTGAAAAAAGGATATATATCCAAGTAGGTCTAAATCCTCCATACTTATGTGTTAAGTCTATTCCAAAAGTCCAACAATGTCTTAGACCATAGTTCTTCATCATGTCTCCAACACTGAAGCAGTAACCTTGTCCGGGAGCCTGCTGGTTATGGTAGCTGACTTTGACAAACACATCAGAATACTATTTAAACCATCTTCTATCAAACTAAAGGGTCATAACCTTTGTTTCGATAAAGTGTCACACTTATGAGCACAAGATTTCCGCTGAACGTTTCAATATCTCCTAAAAGATATTGGAACTCACTGTCTCAAGAGGAGTGAGGGTCGATAAATAATAAAAAAGAGTCTATTCACCCCCCCTCTAGACTTTTACCTCACCAGAGACCATCATAATGTGTGGGTTACATCAACCTTTAAAGTTTACTTGTAACATTCTGTTTCAATATATGTCATTATAGAACCATAACAGTTTGATTTCTTTAATTTTAAGTGAACATGCACAAATTGTTGATCAACATCACTCATTTAGAAAATTGTTTAAAAATGGGTAATATCCTGTTATGCAATAAAATAGGATGCCAGCTAGTAGGGAAAGTTTGAGATCTTTCAATTCAAGCAGAGGTTGTGGCAGAGGAAGGGGTGTAGGCATCACAAAACCACACACCCAGGATTCTGACTCGAATTCCCTTGTGAATGGGTCTGTTGAAACTGTCCATTCTAGAAACTTTGGTGGTGATCAAGCCAATGGTGTTAGGTTTTAAGGGGGGATCAATCACAAGCCAAAATTTGGATCAGACATTGCGAAATGCAGAGGTAAAACTTCTGAATATTAATAACCTTTTTTCCCTTAAGAACCTAAATTGAATTAGATCATTGATTTAATAATGGTGTTGTAGTAATCCAACTGTCCTCAACTTTATCATCGCTATGATAACAAGTATTCATGGGGCTTGACAATCCTTCAAGAATGCTAACGTTGACCAACGTGACCTATGGTGGCAATTGTTTGAGGTATGATAAAATGTATAATATTTCTTTTGACAAAGTATTAATGTTTTAAATGTGAATAATCTATCTATCATAAAGTTGTTAACCAATTTTGGCGTCTGTTTTCTATGTGTAGCAAAAATATCAGTGGAAACCCTATTATAGAAATGCTATAAAAAGCGCTTTGCTTTTCGTGCTTCCGAATGATTAAGTAAAAATATAGGTCGGGCAAGATGTCATAACAAGAAGCCAGATTGGATTGGTGATAGGGCTTGGTTGGTTTTGAAGGAGTATTGGGCAAGTGACACTTATAAGAAAAAAATGTAGTAGGCAAAAAAAACATAACTCGGATGCGTCTAAACAATCTCAACATCGGGGTGACCGTATTCCGGTCACAACTCATGTTGAAAAAATGGTATATAATGTTTGATATAATAGTTCAATATTATGTTTTAGTATCAAAATCCTAACTATTTTTATGGAGCAGAATTGAGTTTTTTTATTTGTTTTAAGTTTCTGTTTTCGTTTTAAATGTTAAATTATTTTTATTGTTTTATTGGTTTGTTTGGCTTATATATTAAAGTAATCTTTTTTTGTGTTAATAGACTAAGAGCTCGTTTGGTAGCACGAAAATCGCCTGTTTTGGCTGATTCTGCTGAAATTTATGAAGTTCTGGCTCAAGTGGCTGCATTGGCTGATTCTGTTGATATAAGAAAAAATTATTTTTTAATAAAATAAAGAAAAAGTTATATGTAAAAATAGCTAAAATGGTCATCTACAGTAACTTCAGCCAACACAGCCAGAAAAGTAACTACAACCTTACTTTTTCTGCTTATTACACAATCCAACAAGCAAAATCAAAACTTACGTGTTTGGTGAAAGAGTTGGCTGATAAGCCAAAAAACAGGGTTGCCAAACGGGCTCTAAGAGTTTGAATCGTCGTCCGTTGAAAATTGAGATGTTTGAGAAAGTATAGGTTCCCAAGAATGTTGATCCACCTTCTTGAGTTGTTGGAACTAGGGTGTGTTTATTTATTGATCTTTATATTCTGTAATAATAGTTTATTTTTCCGATGTAGAAAATACTTTTTGTTTTGATAGAACAAGTACAATGAAATGAAGGCCACAACGGAATCTGAAGGGAAGTCCTATGATCAAGATGACTCTGAATTATTTTGCAAGATTGTGTCGAAGTATAGAGGACTCCGATATGGGACCGGGTCAGAAGTTGACTCGTTAGAAAGCGTGGACCGTCCAAGCTGAGGACCAACTCAAGTCGAGATCGATCAGAGCATTCGGGAGGAGGTTGAAGCTCGCTTTACGCAGCACCAACAACGAGTTGGAGCTGCAATGGCCATTCACATGGCCAGTATGTGTGGAGCCTTTATGGCAATTATGGAGCAAGCACTCAACAACAATCCGTCCATCCAGTTACCCGACTTTTCTAGCTTTCGGACCCTGACTTCGATGCTGATGAACGGACTGAATGGTGATTCCAATGAAGTCAGGATGAATGACATTTTCAACGACATCGGTAAAGATGATGTTGTGACTATGTTGTAATTTTCTGTTGAAAACTTTCTGGGTTTATATGTAATGTTTTTTGGGCATGCCGTATGATGATTCTAGACATTTGTTGCTACTTTATTGGGCTGTTTCTACCCTTAACAATGTGACTGTTTTATTATTTATGTTTGGCTTGTTACTTTAGCTATAGCTTAACATATAAAAAAAAAATACCGTACACATATACAGTATTTGTTTTTTGAAATGATTTTGATTTGGCTCGATTTTATTTCTTAGACAAAGTTCAAATTTGTAAATTAAAAATTTTGCAGCCAAACTTTTGAATTTGAAACCTCATTTGGGTACAGTTGTGACGGTTTAAAATCAAGTCAAGTTGGCACGGAAAATCAGTGAGTCAAACCTCTCAGAGCCAAAGGTTGGAGCGGAATCTTAATTCTGTGCCAAAGCAATTGGCTCAAACTAGGTGGTTGGAAAAAATCTCAGAGCCATAATCGAGCCAAACCCATTAGTCTGAGATTTTTTTGAATGTTTCCCTGTCAAATTCTGCGCCTATACCGAATATTTTTTGTAGTGTTAGTAGTTGCACAAAATAGTCACACAATAGAGTAATGTGACTTTTATATGTTATTAAAATGAAATTGATAAAATGAACATATTGAAAATGAATATAGTAACATCTACATACTATAAAAAAAATAGTAACATCTACATCCTATATTTGACAATAAAATTGACAAAATAACATTAAAAATTAAAATTGGCGGAATGCGCTGAAATGTTAACATTTTCTATTTAAAGTATATTTTATTAATAATATAAATAAAATTATAGGAAAATAGCTAAAATAGTTTTGTCCCGTAATTTCAACTAATTTTCTCAAAATAACTCTTACTTTAGTTACTTTGATCATTACATAAGCCTGTGAAATAAAAATTGTGTATTACATAAAAATCCGTGAGACAAGACTAAAAAGCTTAAATTAAAGACACAATATAATGGAAAATTAGGCAAATTGATTAAGGGTGAGGCTAAGTAAAATCGCATTAGGGACTTGGGACAAATGTATAGCTGAACTTATAATTCGGACCTGTCCGATTTTGGATTGATTTTCATTTTTGTAAGAACAACATGTGCAATGATATGGAATTGCTATGGTTCAGTATAAAACTTTTAAGATCCATTCGAAAGTCGAAACCTTGTTTTGTAGTTTAGTAACACACTAGTCCGATTCAATACAATACTGATTCAATATTTTTGCACATCTCAATTTGTTATCGATTTTTATATGGAGTATTTTCTTTCTAGTATTTGATATTTTTACGTTATTATTATTATTATATTATGAATTAAAACATTTCATTATGAATTGATAGAAAATCAATGCTTATTCCTATTTAGGGAATTTAAAAAATAGTAGTCCTATTTGTACTCTTTAAGGACTCATTAATCCTATTTAGGAGTTAGGACAATTAAAGCTTTCTTTGGAAATAATTTTAACCAAATAAGTGAATAGAAGGCGTTTGATAGTATAAGGATGTTTTTACTTGGACTGTAATTTGTCGCAGACCAGACCAGTTCAGACCAGACTTGGATAGTTATAAAAATACAAAGAAACCAGACCTTACCAGACCAGACCAGTTCAGACCAGACCAGCAAATTACAGTCCAAGTAAAAACATCCTAAGTTGATTACATATGAAAATGACAATATTTATGTATAAACGGTATAACCTACAAAGTTATATAGATGGAGAACAGGAGAAGTATGGTATGCAAGTAATGCAACCAACAAGAACACCGACCCCTCTCTGTCCACGGACACATGCATAACATGGCCCAATTTGAATATTTTTTCCTTGACTCTTCGAATTAAAACTTAAAATCAAACAAATATACGACAATAAGAACAAAAAAAATCAATAGTTTCAGATAGAAAAGTACACACTCAGAAAATTACATCACAGAAAGTTTGTCTCGAAAGAACATAATATTCCGAATTATTAATGAATTAAATGCCAAAATACAAAGGAAATGCTAATATATAGGGTATATATAGTTATATATACTATGACACATTCATGGGATAAAACCAATCTCGCTCTCGTCAAAAGCACGCATCTAGGAGGCAACAACAGCACAGAGCAGCCAAGCTGTAAAAAAACACATTTTTATCAGATTTATTATAAACTTTATGATGGCTTAACTACGTATAACGGTGTCAAAAAACTACGTATAAAGAAGGAAGGTAATATATTATACTCCGTATAATTTATTTTCCAAACTCCAATTACATAATATTTCCAAAAACAGCACAAGAAAAAAAGTGAAACAAAATTAAATAATCGCGGAGTCCCAAAAAGGAGTCACGTGAATCCAAATATTAAATTTTATTTTGGTAGTAGACTCTCTGTTAGTTTATTCGCGTATAATTCGCGTATAATACACTCAAACGTATAATTCGCATATAATACTCCCGTTTATGAATTTTTCAAAAAATTCGGAAAAATTCGCGTACTTTAAGAATAAAATGTATAATACACGTACCGTACGTATTGATACGTATTTTATTCCCGTATAATACTCTTGTTTATGAATTTTTCAGAAAATTCTGGAAACCTCACGTACTTTAAGCATAAAATGTATAATACACGTACTGTATGTATTGATACATATTTTATTCAAAAACACACGTCATTAAACGGAAGCCTAATGTAGTGATACAACTTAAACAAAATGTTTACCTGCTCAATATTATTTATATTGCTTAAAAAAATTATGCCTTATATGTTCGTTAATTGTTTCATAGTCATTACATTTAATAAATTAGCTTCTTAAATTCGTAATCCTTTTCAATACTACTATTGTACTACTAATGTTCTCCACACATACCAAGACTCCAAAGAGATCGTAAAATGTTGTGACGGCTCACGAAACTCACGGTCACAGTAATATCAACTATTCTCTAATAATATATCTCTACTTCTACTCAAATAGGCAATGCCATTTTTATTACTTATTGTACTTATGTGTTCAAATCCGTATATATGAAAAAATTATTCCGTACATTTTAAATTGTTGAAGAATGTGGTTCAAATGCTAAATAACTTTTTATTTCTATCATTAAATTAGTATATAAGACACATATTATATGCCGTATTTTTAAATTGTGAAACGTTTAAAACGCATCTGTATCTTTATATATTTCACGAACGTATGAAACATATATTAAGCCGTATTTTATATAATTGTGTCGTATTATACACGAACGTATGTATTATTGTATTATTCACGAACCGTATATTACTAACAAAGAGTAGACTTCAATTGAGTTGTCTCTGACTCTTTGGAGTTAATTTTTTAAGCTAAAATATTAAAACTTTGCTTTAGATATTTATAAAATATAGGCAGGTCGGAGACAATTTCTCTTGGGGAACCAAAAAATTACTAGGTACGTTCGGATATTACGTTATGGAGAAAAGATTACAAATTCAAAAAAATGGGAGTCGTTTTTTTTTTATATAAGTTCATTGTTTTTTCGAAGAATTTATCTGTTCATTGTTTTTTTTGAAGAGTTTATATCAGTTCATTGTTGGAAAAGGTTGAATATTGAAATAGTACCCTTGTCCCAAAATTAACATTTCACTTTCCTTTTCGGACAGTCCCGAAATTAACTTCCCACTTCCTTATTTGGAAAATTATCTACGTCAAAACAATTCAAAACATTGTCTAACAACATTGTCTAAGTAAATTTATTTCGAGATATTACCCAAAATGGGACTAAAAAAGTTTGGAAATTCCAAAATAGGACTTCCATGTTTTTATTCCCAAAATAGGACTAATTACTGTCATGTTTTGGCAGTACCAGACTTCAATGTAGTAATATATTTAAAATGTAGTACATTGTAGCCTATTTGGGATGTTTTTTTTTATTGAAATTTGCTGGTCTGGTCTGCGTACAGTCCATAAGAAACATCCTTGATCCTCTGTGGATTTCAATGAGTTAGTGTATTATTAATAAATATTGTTTTTAAAAGTTTGGAAGCTAATCAAGACAAATATGATAAAAAATTTGGGGTTTTATTACTCCGTATTTATTTTATGTATGTGAGAAACATATGTCATGGGCAAATTAATACTCCGTAGTAAAATAAATTGGAGAGACATTAGTCATTTATTTAATTAATATTTATACGGAGTATATTTATCCTGGAGAAATCCACAGCCGCCATACGTA